GCAGTCGGCGATGGTCGCAAGAAACAAACTTTTTTGTTTCCTGCGATGTCATCGCCGATGGTCGGCGACGATTACGGACAATCGGCGATATAATTTTTTATGCGTTCTCATAAATCGCAAGCCGTCGCCGACGTCGCAAAGCTCCCGTCGTCGACGGTTTACGATGAATGAGAACTAGGCTTAAGGCCTAGCAATAATTCCAATTTTAATTATTGGATATTAACCAATTAAATAAAATGAGTCAACATAAAAAAATTTTCAACTTTTCTCATCGGCGGATTTTACAGAGGTATATTAAATTCATACAATATCATAAATATTTATACCTGTACTTTATCCAATAATAATCCGGCACCAACAGTGCCTAAACCAGCTATGAGAAACGGTATCAAAACTTCAAAAGCTATAGTAAAAGAAGTTTCTTCCTTGGCTTTCGCATCACCAATTTCATTTTCAAAATTTTGTTCAACTAAATGGCCATTTTCAAGCTGATGTTCGTCTGTTTGGGCAAAAGCATCGCCATTTTCAAGATCACTAGCAGATCGGTCCTCTTGGATGACAGTGACCGGTTCATAGCCGCCCGAAACCACACGAATTTTAGGGACCATTTGAACGTCAGGGAGGTGAGCACCGTTCGAATACTGGCCGTTTCGATCGGATTTTTTCCCTTTTCTTTTGGTCAAATTCGCCGTTAAATTCGAGCTGTCATTTCCGTGCTGGTTCGAGTCAAAAGACATGCGTCATTTGGTCGCGATCGTGGCTCTTAAAGCGATGTTTTAATCTATTTCTTCACGCTTCGTGAAGTTTGAACGAACAATATTTGAGCTTTGCTCGAAAGAAATTACAAATATACAAAACGTCACTTCGGGAGAGTTGCGCCGGCGATGTTTGCGTCGAGGTACTTCGTGTAAAATTTTCGAAATGTGTCCACTGAGCTGCATGTGCAACCTATTAACCGTGGTGCAACTGGAGTGGAATCTTCAATTCGTTGACCTCTAAATGTTACTGGATTAATGCCTTCCCTATGCTGATATCTATACATAACTGGAGGAATATCATCAGCTCTCTGATATCTGTACATAACTGGAGAAATATCCTCAGCGCTCTGATACCTATACATAACTGGAGAAATATCTTCAGTTCATTAATTCACCGACAGTCGAGTGGAAATTTATGTAGCTACATTTATTACACCTAACCAATTACGAACAGAAGCGGAAAATGCAACTACAGGTCCGTGGCAGGAATCGAACGTGCTATTCCGGTGCAGCGCTCTAACCAACTGAGCTACAGAGGCCAGTTGCCGAGCTCTAACCAACTGAGCTACAGAGAGACAGTTGTCAAGCTCTAACCAACTGAGCTACAGAGGCCAGTTGCCGAGCTCTAACCAACTGAGCTACAGAGAGACAGTTGTCGAGCTCTAACCAACTGAGCTACAGAGAGACAGTTGTCGAGCTCTAACCAACTGAGCTGTAGAGAGACAGTTGTCGAGCTCTAACCAACTGAGTTACAGAGAGACAGTTGTCGAGCTCTAACCAACTGAGCTACAGAGAGACAGTTGTCGAGCTCTAACCAACTGAGCTACAGAGGCCAGTTGTCGAGCTCTAACCAACTGAGCTACAGAGACCAGTTGTCGAGCTCTAACCAACTGAGCTACAGAGAGACAGTTGTCGAACTCTAACCAACTGAGCTACAGAGACCAGTTGTCGGGCTCTAACCACAAGTTTATGTATATATATATATAAATTTGCACTTGATAATAGACAATTCCCATTATAGACTAATTTTAAAACTAGGCAAGGAGATGCAAATAAATCACCACAGCTAGAAAGAGCATACTAAAATTAGTAAAATTACAAAGTTTGGTTGCGAAATGCTGTAAAATGTGGAAGAATATAGCCTTGCAAAGGTTGCAAATTTCGTATACTTTTGTATTGCTTGCGGAAATTCCTACCACATTTAGGCCGAAAATGTCGCACGCAATACAAAAGTATACAAAATTTGCAAACTTTGCAAGGCTATATTTTCCATATTTTACAACATTTCGCAACCAAATTTTGTAATTTTACTAATTTTAGTATGCTCTTTCTAGCTGTGGTGATTTATTTGCACCTCCTTTCCTAGTTTTAAAATTAGTCTATAATGGGAATTGTCTATTTCCACCCACAAGACCCTTTAACTATCTTTGAATCGAGTGAGATCCAACAAAATCTCGATTAAAACCTTTAATTCCTTTCTCACCCAAATGAGAACAATTTCAATTACACTCAACACATTTCAATTACTATTTCCGTTTTACATAAAAATTGACTTTTAACGCTTATTCGTACAATGAAATTGAAGATATTAGCAATATTAGCCCAGGAAAAACGGTGAAAAAGATTGATCAAGCGCGACTAGCTTTCTTTAGTGTATATATCCTGTTACCGATATTTGAGCGAGAGTCGGACAATAGCATTTGAGAGACGAAACATTTTTTCAGTATAGTCAGGCACAATTTGCAGTGTGTGTGGTTTAATTCTGCTTTGAGCCTTTCTGTGGCGACTTTTTGCGCGAAAGGTTTTAATTTTGGTGATTTGTAATCGATTATTTCACAAAAGGTAGGTTTAGACTTGACTAAATTGATTTGATAGAAAGTACTTAAATGATTTGAAAGATCATATAATTATGCTTGTTGTAAGACTGCCTATAAGTGGTCTTTAATTTTTTCTACTCTTGACTTGAGTGATAGAACTGATTCAATTGTCATAATTATCTCATGTTAAACATGAGTGTCCTAAACTATATTTTATACAATAAGCTGCCATGATATTTTTCAGGTAGTCCAAACATAAACCACGACAGTTTATTGTAGAATACTACATATAGACTGGACCACCACATTTGAGATATCTTTTTCAGGTAGTTCAGACACAAACCACGACAGCTTACTGTAGAATACTACCTACACTAGACCACCACATTTGAGATATCTTTTTCAGGTATAGTTCAGACACAAATCACGACAGCTTATTGTAGAATACTACCTTACACTGGACCACCACATTTGAGATATCTTTTTCAGGTATAGTTCAGAGTTCAGACACAAATCACGACAGCTTATTGTAGAATGCTACCCACACTGTACTACACCGGCGCATCAATAAACCGTTAGATTTAATTTAAGCTTTTTATTCACCCTTCATTGTTTTTTAGGCACAATGGCTACAGCTTCAGGTAAGACCTTAAGATTAAAACACATGGAATGTTACAACTTTGGAGAACAGTAAACTATTTTACTTATCAATACGAAAAAACTCTTAAGTTCTCTCAACTCTCATGTATGCTCTGGTCAAAGAGAATTAGAATTGATGAGAGTTGAGAAGCGAGAGTTTGCATGAGAGTTTTCTCAACACTCATATGCCTCGGTCAAAACGATAACAAGACTGAGTTACACACAAGACTGAGTTACATAAGTTGTTATACAAGTCTGCGAACAAGCAGTCGACAAATTGTGTTCGCACTGCTTGTTCCCAGTTGTTGTAACAATTAAGTCTGGAACAAACTGTTAACAACTTGTAACAAGCTTGATGGCATTATCAGACTTGTTACAAGGTTGTTCCAACAAGTCTGATACAGTCATGATATAACAAGAATGTTAGAGGGTTGATGACACAAGGTTGTAACAATATTGTTATATCATGACTGTATCGGACTTGTTGGAACAACCTTGCGACAATTAGTCTGATAATATCAACAAGATTGTTACAAGTTGTTAACAGGTTCCAAACTTATGTACAACTTGGGGCAAGCAATGTGAACACAACTTGTTGATGGCTTGTTGGCAGACTTGCTACAAGATGTGAGATTCTTGCGTGCTTTAAATAGTACATGAGAATTGATGAGAGTTTAGTGGATAATACGGCGCGATAGCGAAAACGCTCATCAACTCGGCATCAAAATTTGAACATCTCTTCCCGTTTGACCGAGGCTTTAGTGAAACCCATTCATTTTAATTTTGCTAGACACACAAGAAGCGATCTTGATTCTCATCGCCATTACGTTGGGTATCCTTGTCTTCAGTATGCTATTATTCATTATCTACATCTGTATATTTCAACAACAGTAAGTATTCCTAGACTGTTACTTCGTATGTTAGAGACTGTTACATTATGCACTATGCAGTTACAGTAGACATACTAAGGGAGGACCATTAGAAAAGTGATGGGGGGGGGGGGACATTTCCAACCTGTACGATTTTTTCAAAATTTTTTGCTTGTGTCGATAATTTTTTTTTTTTAAAAAAGTGTTGGAGAGCGGGGGAGGGGGGTTAACATTTTCTCAGGACACTAAAAAAAGGGTCAAAAAAGTTTTCCGTACTAACATCAATTAAGGAACAAAAAAATTTCCCCTCACTAATTCTTGTTAAAACATGCTTAAAGCCTTTTTTCCCACCAATATCTTCAATATTTAGGTTTAGAAACTATTTCTCTCGCACCATTATTATATCAAAAAACGTTTTATTTTCCAAATTTGGGGGCCACCCTTACACAACTTATAATTTTCCCTATTGAAAAGTTTCTGCACGAATTTTTTTAACTAACTTTTTTCGTGCTCGAATTTTTTTTTTCTGTTTCCCCTGCTCGATTTTTATTTTTGCTTTTGCCCCCCCCCCCCCCCCCCCCATCACTTTTCTAATGGTCCGCCGCTAAAGGACCGTTTACACCTGCAAATGTAAACAAGTGAATGAGTTAAGGATATTCGGATGACGACTGACGATGATAAATATACTCAGAACATTTTAGAGACAGTTCAAAGACTTGTACTGGTGATAATATTAAAATTTTGCAACACGAGTTTTTTCAATTACTGATAGCCTTTTCCCAAAGCCAGGAAAGTGTAACTTTCCGTGTCATACTTGGGGCATTCTAGGAAGGAATGTAATATATCCTCTATACAGTAAAAAACCTCATCTTGATCAATATTTCAGTACAGAGAAACATTGCGGATATGATGTCACTGGATGAACAGCAAATTAGTTTACTTTGACAGTGAAAAAGTTGACCAGGATGATGTTTTTAGATGATTTATAAAGCGATATCATCGCATTCTTCTTAGGATGACCCAAATATACAAAATTCATTGATTGAGCACACCAGTATGAATAAAGCACGATAAGTTTTCACTTCAAATTTTAAAGCATATATTAATTTCTTCAATTTAGGATCAAGAAAATCAAGAACAAACTATATTCACCAAACGTGATCGCAACAAGAAAATAATACCAACTCATGGACTACTCCAGTTGCATGATACTGTAAATTACGTTTAGATATTAGATATACTTGTAAAAAATTTTTTAATAAATGTATACTCTTCAATATTCAATAAGCTCGTGGATGGTCACATCAACAAAATTTATGTGATAAAACAGCGTTACCTTTGTGCTTTGTTGAAATTATTAGAAAGTTGTTCACATGAACCTACTCCACACGCAAAAATCTCACATCTTGTACCAAGTCAGCCAACAAGCCGTCAACAAGTTGTGTTCACATTGCTTGTCCCAAGTTGTCATTATCAGACTTGTAGCAAGGTTGTTCCAACAAGTCCAACAATCGTGATATAAGTTATCAATATTGTTACAACCTTGTAACATTCTTGTTATATCATGACTGCACCAAACTTGTTAGAACAACCTTGTAACAAGTCTGATGATGCCATCAAGCTTGTTACAAGTTGTTAACAGCCTGTAACAAACTTGTTGATATTATCAGACTTCTAGCAAGATTGTTCCAACAAGTCCGATAAAGTCACGATATAACAATATTGTTACAACCTTGTGTCGTCAACCTTGTAACATTCTTGTTATATCATGACTGTATCAGACTTGTTAGAACAATCTTGTAACAAGTCTGATGATGCCATCAAGCTTGTTACAAGTTGTTAACACCTTGTCACAAACTTGAAGGCATTATCACTTGTAGCAAGGTTGTTTCAACAAGTCCGATAAAGTTATGATATAACAATATTGTTACAACTTTGTTATACCATGATTGTACCAGACTTGTTAGAACAACCTTGTAATTAACATTCCTATTATATCACGGCTGTAGCAGACATATTACAACAACCTTGTAACAAGTCTGATAATGCCATCAAGCTTGTTACAAGTTGTTAACAGCTTGTAACAAGCTTCTTGATATTATCAGACTTGTAGCAAGATTGTTCCAACAAGTCTGATATAGTTATGATATAACAATATTGTACAAGTTGTTTAAACAGCTTGTAACAAGCTTGTTGATATTATCAGACTTGTAGCAAGGTTGTTCCAACAAGTCTGATACAGTCACGATATAACAATATTGTACAAGTTGTTTAAACAGCTTGTAACAAGCTGTTAATATTATCAGTCTTGTAGCAAGGTTTTTCAAACAAGTCTGATACAGTCATAATATAACAATATTGTATACAAGTTGTTAACAGCTTGTAACAAGCTTGTTGATATTATCAGACTTGTAGCAAGATTGCTCCAACAAGTCTGATACAGTCATGATATAACAATATTGTATACAAGTTGTTAACAGCTTGTAACAAGCTTGTTGATATTATCAGACTTGTAGCAAGATTGTTCCAACAAGTCCGATACAGTCATGATATAACAATATTGTACAAGTTGATTAAACAGCTTGTAACAAGCTTGTTGATATTATCAGACTTGTAGCAAGATTGTTCCAACAAGTTCGATACAGTCATGATATAAAAATATTGTACAAGTTGATTAAACAGCTTGTAACAAGCTTGTTGATATTATCAGACTTGTAGCAAGATTGTTCCAACAAGTCCGATACAGTCATGATATCACAATATTGTACAAGTTGATTAAACAGCTTGTAACAAGCTTGTTGATATTATCAGACTTGTAGCAAGATTGTTCCAACCAGTCCGATACAGTCATGATATAACAATATTGTACAAGTTGATTAAACAGCTTGTAACAAGCTTGTTGCTATTATCAGACTTGTAGCAAGATTGTTCCAACAAGTCCGATACAGCCATGATATAACAATATTGTACAAGTTGATTAAACAGCTTGTAACAACCTTGTTAATATTATCAGACTTGTAGCAAGGTTGTTACAACAAGTCTAATACAGTCATGATATAACAATATTGTACAAATTGATTAAACAGCTTGTAACAAGCTTGTTAATATTATCAGACTTGTTGCAAGGTTGTTCCAACAAGTCTGATACAGTCATGATATAACAATATTGTACAAGTTGATTAAACAGCTTGTAACAAGCTTGTTGATATTATCAGACTTGTAGCAAGATTGTTCCAACAAGTCTGATACAGTCATGATATAACAATATTGTATACAAGTTGTTAACAGCATGTAACAAGCTTGATGATATTATCAGACTTGTAGCAAGATTGTTCCAAGAAATCTGATACAGTCATCATATAACAATATTGTATACAAGTTGTTAACAGCTTGTAACAAGCTTGTTGATATAATCAGACTTGTAGCAAGATTGTTCCAACAAATCTGATACAGTCATGATATAACAATATTGTATACAAGTTGTTAACAGCTTGTAACAAGCTTGTTGATATTATCAGACTTGTAGCAAGATTGTTCCAACAAGTCCGATACAGTCAAGATATAACAATATTGTATACAAGTTGTTAACAGCTTGTAACAAGCTTGTTGATATTTTCAGACTTGAAGCAAGGTTGTTCCAACAAGTCTGATACAGTCATGATATAACAATATTGTATACAAGTTGTTAACAGCTTGTAACAAGCTTGTTGATATTATCAGGCTTGTAGCAAGATTGTTCCAACAAGTCCGATACAGTCATGATATAACAATATTGTACAAGTCGATTAACCAGCTTGTAACAAGCTTGTTAATATTATCAGACTTGTAGCAAGGTTGTCCAACAAGTCTGATACAGTCATGATATAACAATATTGTACACGTTGGTTAAACAGTTTGTAACAAGCTTGTTGATATTATCAGACATGTACCAAGGTTGCTAGAACAAGTCTGATACAGTCATGATATAACAATATTGTACAAGTTGATTAAACAGCTTGTAACAAGCTTGTTGATATTATCAGACTTGTAGCAAGATTGTTCCAACAACTCTGATACAGTCATTATATAACAATATTGTATACAAGTTTTTAACAGCTTGTAACAAGCTTGTTGATATTACCAGACGTGTAGCAAGATTGTTCCAACAAGTCTGATACAGTCATGATATAACAATATTGTATACAAGTTGTTAACACCTTGTAACAAGCTTGTTGATATTATCAGACTTGTAGCAAGATTGTTCCAACAAGTCCGATACAGTCAAGACATAACAATATTGTATACAAGTTGTTAACAGCTTGTAACAAGCTTGTTGATATTATCAGACTTGTAGCAAGGTTTTTCCAACAAGTCTGATACAGTCATGATATAACAATATTGAACAAGTTGTTTAAACAGCTTGTAACAAGCTTGTTGATATTTTCAGACTTGTAGCAAGATTGTTCCAACAAGTCTGATACAGTCATGATATAACAATATTGTATACAAGTTGTTAACAGCTTGTAACAAGCTTGTTGATATTATCAAGCTTGTAGCAAGATTGTTCCAACAAGTCTGATACAGTCATCATAAAACAATATTGTACAAGTTGATTAAACAGCTTGTAAGAAGCTTGTTGATATTATCAGACTTGTAGCAAGGTTGTTCCAACAAGTCCGACACAGTCATGATATAACAATATTGTACAAGTTGATTAAACAGTTGGTAACAAGCTTGTTAATATTATCAGACTTGTAGCAAGGTTGTTCCAACAAGTCTGATACAGTCATGATATAACAATATTGTACACGTTGATTAAACAGTTTGTAACAAGCTTGCTTGTTGATATTATCAGACTTGTACCAAGGTTGCTAGAACAAGTCTCATACAGTCATGATATAACAATATTGTACAACTTGATTAAACAGCTTGTAACAAGCTTGTTGATATTATCAGACTTGTAGCAAGATTGTTCCAACAAGTCTGATACAGTCATGATATAACAATATTGTATACAAGTTGTTAACAGCTTGTAACAAGCTTGTTGATATTATCAGACTTGTAGCAAGATTGTTCCAACAAGTCTGATACAGTCATGATGTAACAATATTGTACAAGTTGATTAAACAGCTTGTAACAAGCTTGTTAATATTATCAGACTTGTAGCAAGGTTGTTCGAACAAGTCTAATACAATCATGATATAACAATATTGTAGCAGTTGATTAAAAAGCTTGTAACAAGCTTGTTGATATTATCAGACTTGTAGCAAGATTGTTCCAACAAGTCTGATACAGTCATGATATAACAATATTGTATACAAGTTGTTAACAGCATGTAACAAGCTTGATGATATTATCAGACTTGTAGCAAGATTGTTCCAAGAAATCTGATACAGTCATCATATAACAATATTGTATACAAGTTGTTAACAGCTTGTAACAAGCTTGTTGATATAATCAGACTTGTAGCAAGATTGTTCCAACAAATCTGATACAGTCATGATATAACAATATTATTGTATACAAGTTTTTAACAGCTTGTAACAAGCTTGTTGATATTACCAGACTTGTAGCAAGATTGTTCCAACAAGTCTGATACAGTCATGATATAACAATATTGTATACAAGTTGTTAACACCTTGTAACAAGCTTGTTGATATTATCAGACTTGTAGCAAGATTGTTCCAACAAGTCCGATACAGTCAAGACATAACAATATTGTATACAAGTTGTTAACAGCTTGTAACAAGCTTGTTGATATTATCAGACTTGTAGCAAGGTTGTTCCAACAAGTCTGATACAGTCATGATATAACAATATTGTACAAGTTGTTTAAACAGCTTGTAACAAGCTTGTTGATATTATCAGACTTGTAGCAAGATTGTTCCAACAAGTCTGATACAGTCATGATATAACAATATTGTATACAAGTTGTTAACAGCTTGTAACAAGCTTGTTGATATTATCAGACTTGTAGCAAGATTGTTCCAACAAGTCTGATACAGTCATGATATAACAATATTGTACAAGTTGATTAAACAGCTTGTAAGAAGATTGTCGATATTATCAGACTTGTACCAACATTGTTCCAACAAGTCTGATACAGTCATGATATAACAATATTGTACAAGTTGATTAAACAGCTTGTAACAAGCTTGTTGATATTATCAGACTTGTAGCAAGGTTGTTCGAACAAGTCCGATACAGTCATGATATAACAATATTGTATACAAGTTGTTAACAACTTGTAACAAGCTTGTTGATATTATCAGACTTGTAGCAAGGT